TGGGGCCGTTGGGGGGGCTGTGCATGGACAGGCTTGTGTGTATGTGTGTGTGGAGAGGCATGGGGGTGTGAGGGGCAGTGTTGTGGGGATGAGGGGGGCAGGTCTCACCTGGAGCTGTGTGTGTGTGTGTAGATGTAGATACAGGAGGGGAGGTAAGAAGTTGGGTCACAGCCTCCCTAGCTGGAGCCCTGATGAGGGACAGGCTCATGCCTGTCTTGGAGGCACCGTGCTGCTGGCAGCTTTCTGAGAACAAGCAGCTCAACCAGGGCATCCCACCAAAGCCCTCTTCTCTAGGCAGAAGGCAGGGCAGGGTGGAAACCCTTAAGACCAACTGGTTTAGAGAGGCACCAGCTTTCCCTAGGACAGTGACAGCCAATTGGTCAGATGCCCCTACAAGAACTCCTAACTCCCTGAACCAGCTTTGCCTTCTTTGAAGGAAAAGCTGGTGCAGAGTCTATCTGAGGAGGGGAGAAAGAGAAGAGGCTGAACAAGGCAAGCTGCCACTGGGGGTGGGCAATACCTCCACTTTCCCCATCAGCCAAACACAGCTAACACCCACCTTGGCAAAGCAGCTGTTTGGCTAGGAGCAAGGCAAGGAGCTTTCAACCAGCACACTGAATTGAAAGCTCTCAGTGGAAAGGGCTGGAAAGAGAAAACAAAAGGCAACACATGTGCCAACAAATGGCATCATGTTAAAATGTTTTGTTTAAAGATGTTTTACATATTAAGGTGTTTTATTTAAAAAAAATGGAGGAGGGCATGGATGTGAATTCACAAGGAGTGCATCTCTTATAGGATCATTTTGGCTCCAAACCTACAAGTCTGAGCCTGGCCCATGTGAGCAGTTCTCTGAAAGTCAGTGAGACTAATTTCTCACCCAAAGTTACATGGATGTATAAGAGCCGGCAAGATAGACTGCTGCATTTTTTTAATCACATCCTCTTTTGTTTTTGTTTTTTAAAGTACAGAGTTTTATTATTATCCAAGTTACAGCTACGAAGTCTAAAAAGAGGAGGACATCTGACCACTCTCCTGCTGGCAGACATGCACCTTAAACTATTACTGCATACATTTACAAAATGTCCTTGAGTCGTCATCTGTGTGATACGATGGCAAGTTTTCCTCTCTCCTTTTCTGCTCCCTCCTTTACAAGAAGCTTTTTCATTTGGTATGTTTAATGTTATAAAAGGTACCACGTACGTATCTGAAATAAAATCTTAACATCTATGACTGCACAACTTCCACATATTTAGCTTGAAACACTGTGACTAGTCTTACTCCTTAGTGGGATTAGTCACGAAGCATACAATTAAACCCATATGTAAATCTGCAAAGTTATGATGGCAAGACATTTTCCATTAATTTACCTGGTCTTACAAACTTACGGCATTCCAGAACAAGTACTTTTTGGGTTGAATGTGTCCATGTCCGTACTTGTTCTCTATCTTTAGGTGATTTGTTGTTTTGTTTCAAATTGAGTAACTTCTATTTCCCTGTTTCTGAATTAGCAGAGTATAAATAGATATAAACATCTTTCACTGTGTAAATACCCTAGGCTTTTCAAAACAGGGCTGCAGTAGGAATGGTTGGAGTGTGAAATATACAACTTGGTATGGACATACACTTATCCTCAGTAAGGAATTTAAGTAGGGTCACTTATTCCATGCTGTAAGTGTCCAAAGCATTTATAATCCTGAAGCATGAGAGAGAAAGAAAGAACAGAGGATGGAGCACTACATTCCCATTTCTTCTTCCCCAGTGGCATGGAGCAGGGAAAGACTTTAAAAAGCATTCACAGTTCCTACTAGCCTGGCAGATTTCCTGCCCCCCAGAAGGCATCAGAAGGCTTATTCTCACTAACCTTAGTCACAAGGGAACACATATATAATATCTGCATATGGGCCAGGTTGAATGCTCTGTATATGCACAAAGTTCAGATTACCCAGCTAGTCTACAAAACTTCATAGTTTCATAGTTGGTAGGGTCGGAAGGGACCTGAGCAGATCCTCAAGTCCGACCCCCTGCCATGGGCAAGAAAGAATGCTGGGAACAAATGACCCCGGCTAGGTGATTATCCAGCCTCCTTTTGCAGACCCCCAGGGTAGGAGTGAGCACCACTTCCCTTGGAAGTTGGTTCCAGGTCCCAGCTGCCCTAACTGTGAAGTAGTGCTTCCTGATGTCTAGCCTGAATCTACTCTCGGTCAACTTATGGCAGTTATTCCTAGCTACTCCTGGTGGTGCTCGGGTGATCAGGGACTCTCCCATTCCCCACTGGTCCTCCTTGGTGAGTTTATCGATGGCCACCAGATCCCCTCTCAGCCTTCTCTTGTGGAGGCTGAACAGGTTCAGGTCCCGTAGCCTCTCCTCATAGGGCCTGCCCTGCTGCCCTCTGATGATGCGAGTGGCCCTCCTCTGGACCCTCTCCATGCTGTCCACATCCCTCCTGAAGTGTGGCACCCAGAACTGGATGCAGTATTCCAACTGCAGCCTGACCAGTGTCACATAGAGGAGGAGGATCACCTCCTTGGACTTGCTCATGATGCATCTATGGATGCATGACAAGGTGTGGTTAGCCTTCCTGACTGCGTACCCACATTGGCAGCCCATGTTCATCTTGGAATCAATAATGACTCCAAGATCCTGTTCTGCCTCTGTGCTGACAAGAAGGGAGTTCCCCAGCCTGTAGGTATGCTGATGGTTCTTCCTCCCTAGGTGCAGTACCCTGCACTTGTCAGTACTGAATCCCATCTTATTCTCATCCTACCACCCCTATAACCTGTTCAGGTCTAGCTGTAGCCTGTCCCTCCCTTCTATCATGCCCACTTCTCCCCACATCTTAGTGTCATCCGCAAATTTTAACACAGTGTTTTTCACCCCCTCATCCAAGTCACTGATGAAGATGTTGAACAGTGCAGGCCCAAGGACCGAGCCCTGTTGGACCCCACTGCCCACATCCCTCTGGGTTGAAAATGACCCGTCCACCACCACTGTCTGGGTGTGGCCCTCCAGCCAATTTGTGACCCATCTGACTGTGTAGGCATTTATGCCACAGTCACCTAACTTTTTAATGAGAATGGGGTGGGAGACAGTGTCAAAGGCCTTCCTAAAGTACAGAAAGACTATGTCCACTGTGACACCTGCATCTAAGGATCTTGTGACCTGTCTGTAGAAGGCCACCAGGTTGGTCTGACAGGACCTGCCTCTAATGAACCCATGTTGGTTGCCCCTAAGCATAATCCTTCCCTGCTAGTCCCTCGCAGATGTGCTCCTGGATAATTTTCTCGAAGAGCTTCCACAGGGCCAAGGTAAGAATAAGAGGCCTATAGTTTCCCGGGTCCTCCTTCCTCCTTTTTTTGAAAATGGGGACTATGTTGGCCCTTTTCCAGTCCTGTGGCACCTCACCAGAGCACCACGAGTGCTTGTAAAGCCATGCCAGGGGTCCTGCAATGACCTCTGCCAAGTCCCTCAGTACCCTGGTGTGGAGATCATCTGGACCTGCTGATTTGAACACG